TTGCACATCCACACACCGAGATATCATATTTTCCGAATTCTTCATTTTACTAATGGCAGTGTCGTTGCGTGCCTATCATAAGTTAATGGTGAATACAGGAGCTATGGAACGGCAAATCGTACGTGGATTTGTCCATGTTCCTTCCAGGCAAAGTACTCGGCATATGCGGTGTCGTTTCTGTCCAAGTAGAGCAGATACCTGACCAACTCGCGAATGGACTTGAAGTCATCCACGTTGATGTAGGAGTGAGGTGGAAGAGCATCATCGTAGTCTTCCTTGTAAGCTCCGAGGACAATCGGAACCATGCTGAAACTGCCAAAAGTAACCAATTTTCATTGTTTGAGTCGGCAAGTGCAGCAACGCGTTACACCTCCTGGTACTAGCATCCGCTTCATATTAAAGAATAGTGCAGCGCGCTTGACGCTGTGTCAACCTACACTCAGACAAGCTAGCAGTCACCATCCTCTCGTCTTTTCTAAACAGGCGTCAGATAAGCGAGAGGACATACATGTGTGACCTCAGAATTTCACTCAGACCGGCCTATGTGTTTCCAAACTGCCAACTGCTAAACGAGTGTTCCAGAACACAGCTAGTCCATTCGAGTTACACATGACAATTAGAAAGCTTGCAATCCTTGTTATTGCCCATTCAGAAATTTGGAATTGTATGCCACCTTTCAAATTGTCATGACGGTGTGTTGAATTCTGTTGTGATATATCATTTAAGGCTTCTTCTGGTAGTTCCTACAGCATTTCTTTGACTCGAATCTTTCCTGAAATTTTGCAGCACACTGTGGGATTTTCTTGCAGCGACTCAGAATCCAAAACGCAATCTGATTGCACATGATTGTGTTAATGATCAACTGCAATGGCTATCCGATTTTCTGACAGTCAGGTAAACAGGAGGTAAGGTAACATTAAATATGCATTATGTCAAGGTCAGTAATTTTTGATGGTCTCCGGAATGTTGTGTTGTTCCACTCCGGCGCCGTTGAAGAGAATTAACCAATCTACGCTGCCAAGAATGCGGAAAGACAAGTAGAAGACCAGGGCTGGCAGCGTTACGACCCTTTACTAAGCAGCTCAATCAGGATGTGTCGTGTGAGTGCGAGCGCTTGCAATAGTGCATGCCTAATGTCATTATTCGTCAATAGGTTGAGTGAACTACGTAACGTACAAGTAGAATAGGTCAACAGGTAGTGGGGGACGAAGAAAACTGAAGTGTGAAAGAGCAGTTAGTATTCCATGGCTGAACTGGGAAGCTGTAGTTCGCGAACTGGAGCAACAGGGTTAAAAAAGGTGAATTAATATAATTATCTCGGTAATAGGCCTGCTCAATCGACAAATGCCTCGCGATTTCGCGAGCAATATGCAGATTGGCTTGTTGCCATTACGGTTTCATGTATCAGATATATAAGGGCAATGTCAGGCTCAAACGTCAACATTTTAGCAATTTCGCTGCTTCGCGAAGTCTTTGTTTTGAGCGAATGGTGATAACTCAGCAATGAATCCATGGTATGAGCCTTATCTCCTCCACCTGCCTTTCACACCAACACGATTTCTCCAACTTTGATTACCACAGACTATCTTGCATTTTATTGAATGTAAATTATCCATCAACTTACTGCATGTGCTTATAGGTATGCCTCCTCGTCTGTTTCGTCCTTGATATGTTAACAGTTGGATTATGCCCCTATTCGTAAACACGAATGGCAATAGGTCGGTAGAAATATTCATGTTTCTAGTTGTGTTCAAGTTAATTTTGCGGTTGCTCAAACGTGTTGGCACTCAAATTATAGCAACAGTAAACGAACGGGTATCCACAACTACAAACACAATCTCATGCTATTTGTGCTAAACCAGATTTTTTGCAAATATTTTGTTCCACGAGGTGATTGAAAACGCGGAGTTATCACAACTCGAATCCCGATGTTGAATTTCTGCAAACCGGAATCGCTAACAGACTTGCTTGCAAGTTCGATTGACAGGAATTGCCCGTAAACACAAAATTCGGCGAAGGCCCTCTATTTGTACATGACTCAAGCCAATGAAACCACCTTATTTGTGATTGGTTATTCACGGCGTAATGCTTGAAGATGAGCTAATGTGCGTTTGCTTTACCAAGAACAGCACAACAACAAGAATGAGATTGCCGACATTTTCCAGAACCACCATATTTGTAGGTGTGTTTACACTAGCACTTGGATGGATCGTTATCAGAAAAATAACAAGTCAAAACAATGTGTATTATTTGCGTGCATCAGCTCGACAGTCAGATAGCAATCTGATTGCATACCATCACGTAATCGATCAGATGCAATGGATATCTGATTACGCAACTAACCAGGTACGCTTTTCAGCCCCGACATTTGTCCCGAGTCTTGATTTTCACTCAAGGTTTTTTTTAACAGAACATGCAGATTAGTCCTGAAGAGTAGGC